TGTACGTGTGAGTGAGTGTGCGTGCGAGTGTGTGTGTAAGTGAGTGTGTGTGCGTGTGTGTGTGTGAGTGAGTGTGCGTGTGTGTGTGTGTGAGTGTGCGAGCGAGTGGGTGTGTGTGTGAGTGAGTGTGTGTGAGTGTTTGAATGAGTGTCACTCACGGTGGCGGTGCGCTGATCGTCGAAGCGTCCGCAGCGCTGCAGCTCTTTGTACATCTCTCCCCGGGGAGCGAACTCCAGAACCAGAAACACACGCGTGTCGTCCTGGAAATAGTTGTAGAAGCGCAGGATGTTTGGATGCCTGGAAAGAAGACTGTTTTAGTTCCTGCAGGGTCATGAAGAGCGTCTGAAGGAAGGAGAAGCAGCCAAAACACACCTGAGGTGAGACTGGATCTCGATCTCTCTCCGCAGCTGATGCTCCACGCCTTCCTTCTCCATCTGAGACTTAAAGAGCACCTTCAGAGCCACGATCACCTTCAGCTTCCGCTCGCGCGCCAGATACACGTTACCAAACTTCCCCTTCCCGAGCGGACGGCCGATGTCAAAGTCTTTGATGGTGAACTTCCTGATGAAAGAGAACGACAGGTAATAAACACGGTGATGCTCATAATCTGTATTTCAATACAAATATCTAAACATCCTGAAATCAAGACATTTATTGGAGAAGCACGGTGAAACATGAACTCTTGTTTTCTGTGCTTAAAACAAGAAAAAATCTGCCAACATGGTCAGAAAAATAAATCTATCTATTCTCTTCTTATCTGATGTCATTTTGCTTCTCTAGTAAATGCATCTTGATTTAAGATAGTTTAGATATTTATTGCCATGCAGAAGTTGCTAAAACCCCTAAAGCATGTTTAAAATTATTTAAACTAGACGTAGATCTTAAGTTTGAGACTCATTTTAAATCAAAAACACTGCAAAAATGCTTCCTCTGTATCTTTGTCTTGTCATTCAGTACACGTTTCTATTCATTCTTAAATCAAGAGACACATTTACTGACAAAATGTCAGGATATGATCTAAAAAGTTAAGCGAGTTCATGATTAAAATAAGAAAATCTGCCAACGGGGTCAGAAACCAAATCACTTTCGTTCTGAGCACACTGGCAGATATTAATTTTGAGGAGTTTCTTTAATCTTCTGTTATTGTGCACCTCGAGACAACACATCTTGATATTTGTACTGGAAAACAAGACAGAAATCCTGAGGATGAGCATCACTTTGTGCAGTTTTGCATCTACAGATTCACCTGATCTTCAGCAGGAATAAAAACAAAGCAAATCAAAGCAGATACAGCAGAAGGTGTAAAGTGAACTCACTTTGTGTTTGACTTCACGGGAACTCTCCCAGGACCTGAAAGAAGACCACCAGAGACTGAGTCAATCGCTTGCAGCATCATTTAAAGGATTAGTTCACTTCCAGAATAAATCTCCTGATAATTTACTCACTCAAGATTTTCCGCAGCCGACTCGTCAATAAATGAGTACAAAACAGCGTTTCCAAGCACCTGTCGCTTACTGATTGTTTGGAATTATAAATATGAGCATAGTTCATCTATTAATATAATGCAAATATTTATTTTTTTTGTTACTCAGACGCAGGCAGTGCGCTGCATGAGACAAAAAAGTAATAGCCAAAACAACCGCATAGCCGCTCAACATGCATCTACTGTACATGCATGTTGATTTTATCAGACGATGTCGCGATTATAAATGAGAGTGACTCCTGGTTAACATGTACAAATGGGTCGTGTTTCGTCACTATTTAGAGTGGAATTTTTCTACAATATTCACTCATCATGACAGTAAAATAGGGCATTCTAAGTCAATATACTGCAGTATTTCCTCTCTCAATCAGTAGAAAATGTGGTTTACACCCGGTCATGCATGGAAAAAAATAAAAAATAAATACCGTCATGTACCGTGAAAACGGTATAATTTTGAAAAATACCGTGATGTTAATTTGTGGTCATACCGCCCACCACTACTTGACAGACAACAAAAAGACCCTGAAGGAGGATCATATGGACTTGAGGGTCAGCAGACGGTCAACCACAACACATATAAACAAAACAACTCGTTTACAAAAAGCGTTTGTTCGTTGTTTTAGAGGTCTTACCTGTAAGAGTGTGTGTGTCTGGATTCATGCCGACCCTGAGAGGACCAACAGTAGCAACCTGAGCCACGAACGCGCACACACACGCACACACGCACACACACACACAGATCATCAGACAGACTGCAGAACAACACTGATCTAGATGTAGGACTCTATTATAGATCAGTGGCACTGATTCTGTAAACTATTAAGCAGAATTAACACGCGTCGCCTCACCTGTGTTTGGAAGGCTCTGGGTTCCCTGTTCTCTTTATTCTGATAAAACAAACATTTCAAACTCAACACACACGCACGTAACTTACATCAATAAAACACAAACAGCTCTCAGATGAGAAACCAAAACACAAACATGAAAACACATCTCTAATATATTATATTCAGCGTCTGAGTAACGTTACATTAGCGCTCGCTGTACCTGGACAACCTGATTTGACACAGATCAGTCCCTGAACGACACTAACATCTCCTAAACACACATATACACGCGCTTACATTCAAATAAGATGATTAATAATAGTTTATTGTACCTGCATGACGATTATTGTGCTTTTGTATCTGTTGCTGTTCTTCCGTTTCTCTCTTTCAACCGCCTGGATTTAAACTGAAAACCAGCTGCATTTCGATTGGCCGAGCCGCTAAGAACTCCCCGCTGATTGGCCCATTTACTCAAACACTCATTGGGCCGATGAAGTGCCAATCATTCTGGCCCCGCCCGCCACAGAGACTCGCGCATTCGCTTTGAATTAAACAATTTTATAGGAAAAACAACGAGATATTTTCATATGATTTAATAAACAATTAAAAATACAAGATATCTCCAGGACATCTGAACCTCTACTCTACATACATTTAGGCATATTGCCGTTATTGTATATAATGGAAACCTACTTCTGCCACTTAAGAGAACAAAACATGCGTTATTAAATCGCAATTATGACATAAAAAGTTTAAATTATGATACAAAAAAATTGAAATGATGGCAAGTCAGAAGTATGACATTAAAACAAGTAGAAACTGAGACACTAACTCACAATTATGAGATTGAAATCAAATGTGTGATCTCAAGTCAAAATTATTATAAAAAGTCATAATTATGACAAAAGGTGTATGTATTATGAAATATTTGAATATTGTCAAAATTATTTGACATAACAATGGTCATAATGACTTTTTAAATCTCGTAATTTTGTCTTTTATGACATAATTTCAACTTTGTATCTTGCAATCAGACTTGAAAACTTTTTTTGTCATAATTATGATTTACCAAAGTATGATTTTGCTTATGTGGCGTAAATGTGCTTTCATAAACGTGTACAACTGCTTTGCATAAAATCCCTTGTATAAAAGTCCATAAAAATACACACTTTAGACTGATACAACACAGACTTGCAAATTCATTGAAATTTCATGTTTAATTCTTTTATTTAAAAAAACACACACAGAAAAGAGAGATCTCTACATTTCTCCAGCTGAATGTCTGAAATCAGTGTTTTTCTTCAGCGGGGTCTTCATGTCCTCAAGTCCTCGACTGAAGAACCGCTCACACTGACTTCAGTGAAATGAGCAGAATGAACTCGAAGAGAGCTGGAATCACACTGTCACACACACACACAATAAATGAGTAAGAGCTCCATTCACTAGACCTGCTGATTTATAATACTTCTAAAGTGCTGCTGATATCAATCAGTGCGTGAGGAGACGGACCTGCAGAGGCTGAACATGATCCAGTAGGTCCAGCAGGGCCACTGCTGGAAAACAAAGCAGGACAGACTGACGCAGGCGCCGGAGTGAGAGAGCAGAGCTGAAGAGACGTTCAGAGAAACACACTGACACACAGCAACAGAGCGAAGGGGATTTCATTCACGTAAGATCAGAACCGGTTATTAATTCTGAGTAATTCTGAGTTTATATATTATAATTCTGACTTTATATATCGCAATTATGGCTTTATATATCGCAATTCTGGCTTTTTCATGTAATTCTGAGTTTATATATTATAATTCTGACTTTATATATCGCAATTCTGACCTTTTCTCGTAATTTTGAGTTTATATATTATAATTCTGACTTTATATCTCGCAATTCTGGCCTTTTCTCTTAATTCTGAGTTTATATATTATAATTCTGAGTTTATATATCGCAATTCTGGCCTTTTCTCATAATTATGAGTTTATATATTATAATTCTGACTTTATATGTCGCAATTCGGACCTTTTCTCGTAATTCTGAGTTTATATATTACAATTATGACTTTATATATCGCAATTCTGGCCTTTTCTCGTAATTCTGAGTTTATATATTACAATTATGACTTTATATATCGCAATTCTGGCCTTTTCTCGTAATTCTGAGTTTATATATTACAATTATGACTTTATATATCGCAATTCTGGCCTTTTCTCGTAATTCTGAGTTTATATATTACAATTATGACTTTATATATCGCAATTCTGGCCTTTTCTCGTAATTCTGAGTTTATATATTATAATTCTGACTTTATATGTCGCAATTCTGGCCTTTTCTCTTAATTCTGAGCTTATATATTATAATTCTGAGTTTATATATCGCAATTCTGGCCTTTTACCGTAATTCTGAGTTTCTATATTATAATTCTGACTTTAATTATCGCAATTATGACCTTTTCTCGTAATTCTGAGTTAATATATTATAATTCTGACTTTATATATCGCAATTCGGACCTTTTCTCGTAATTCTGAGTTTATATATTACAATTATGACTTTATATATCGCAATTCTGGCCTTTTCTCGTAATTCTGAGTTTATATTTTATAATTTTGACTGTATATATCGCAATTCTTGCCTTATCTCGTAATTCTGAGTTTATATATTATAATTCTGACTTTATATATCGCAATTCGGACCTTTTCTCGTAATTCTGAGTTTATATATTATAATTCTGACTTTATATCACAATTGCAATTCTGAGTTTATATATTATAATTCTGAGTTCACATCTCGCTAGGGATGTAACGATTAACTGCGAGCTGGTTGAAAATCGATTAAAATATGTGACGATTCAAATCGGTTGAGATGCTAAACAAATCGCGATTCATTTAGGTGTAGGAGTTTATATGAATGTATGTCTGAGGGGAACTTACTGTCTTTAGAAAAGTTTAGATGGTATTTTTTCTTTTCATCTTGCCTCTGTATAATGCATATTAAAGTTCGTAAGTTCAGCGCTGCTTTGTTTACAGTGGAAACCAGGAAACGGTTGAGTGCATCTGAGTGCATCTGCATCTGCATCTCATTCAGCTCTGCTGTTTCATGCACATATTTTTATTTATAGTTTCACAAAACTGAAGTCAAACCATTCTGTTTTTGCTTCAAATTTCGAAACTATACAATCTAATTTAGTTTAAAAACTGCTCATGTTGCATGTATGCAGCATCTTTGTTTGGATCAAGATTAAAATGCAGTGGTTGCCTCTAATTTTAAAAGGAAAGAGCACAGACAAAGCCTTATTTTGTTTATATGAAGATATTTATTTTATTTGTGTTACTTTATTTGATTTGGGGCTTGTTTTAAAATTTCAATTTAGTTTTGTTATTTACATTTACATTATATTTAAATTTTGTAATTTAGCAGACGCTTTTATCCAAAGCGACTTACAAATGAGGACAATAGAAGCAATCAAAACCAACAAAAGACCAGTAATATGCAAGTGCTATATTAGTATATTATTATAGTATTATATTTCAATTTCACAAAGAAATGTGCAGCATTTTGTCCAAGCAATAATAAAAGGACACATTTAATTTATAATTTGTCTTAAATCTAATTTTGTTAAAAAAAATTATAATAATCGTGAATCGAATCAAATCGTGAAATCAAAATCGTGAATCGAATCGTGAGTTGAGTGAATCGTTACATCCCTACATCTCGCAATTCTGGCTTTTTTCTTATAATTCTAAGTTTACATCTCACTGTAAGATATAAACTTGAAATTGCAAGAAAAAAAGTCATAATTGTAAGATAAATAGTTGCAGTCAAAGCTGCAAAAATGTATATTTTTATTCCATGGCGGAAGTAAGCTTCCATAATATTTAGTGCTTGTGACATAACATTGATTACTTCAAGAAAATTATAATTTTTTTTGTTTAAAAGCAAAACTGAATTACTGAGTAAAAGCTGTTTATTATTTGAGGTGTTTGACTGCTGCTGCTTGATTCTCCATTATCAGATTGACTGTAACCGAGTTACGACTGAGTGTTTGTAAGGATACACAGCACGGCCTGGTTACTGTTGAACATGGAGACTCCAGAGAGAAACCCAGCCAGTTCAATCACAAACAGACCCAGAGTCACAGACAGAGCCACGAGCAGCCTGACAGACAGAGACAGACATCAGAGACGTTACAGAACAAGAGCGTGATCAGATCAGCTGAGTAATATATGCAGCAGTGCTTCATAAGGACACAAATCCACCAAACTGCAGGAATGACTTCAGTGCACATCATCCTTGTGACAAATAAAAAGATCCATCTGTGTGTGTTTTACCTTGTATCTTCTGTTTTGAACTGTTCTTCAGTGAATTCCAGTGGCAGACATGACTTGATGTTATTGTCCTGTAAAACACACACACACACACACACACACACACACACACACACACA